ATTCTTGTAATGCTCTGGCGATTGATTGATGTGAGGTGTTGTCAAAGGCACCCTCTGTGTCGATGAAAGCTGTGAGAGCGATCTCTTTGCACTCGATTGTCTTTTCAATGTCTTTAACCAGGCCGTGTAAAGCACTTATTGTGGATTTGCCTGGCTGATAGGCAAATTGCTTTGAGTAGAGCGGTCTTCTCAATAGAGTTTCGCTTCTGATGTACTGGTCGATTGCTTTCTCCATTGTCTTAAGGAGAAAGGAGGTTAGACTAATGGGACGATATGATTTTGGTTCGACCTCGGGTCGGCGACCCGTTTTTGGTATGAATATCACATTAGCTTCCCTCCAAGATAGCGGTATGTGCCCTAGGAGCAGGCTTGCCTTAAAGAGCTTCTGTAGGTGTACCTTTAAGTACTCGTAGCCTTTTTGCAGTTGTGCGGGAAAAATCCCGTCTTTGCCTGGAGATTTGTAGGGTCTGAAGCTATCGATCGCCCATTTTATTCTGTTCATTGTGAAGATTTTCCCAGCCAGCCTTTTGCTCCTGCCGTTAGGGCTCTGTGGCCCTTCGATAGGCGGAGTGACCTGGTTCAGGGCTTCAACGATTACCGAACCTGGAAAGTGAGTTTGTAGTAGTACCTCTAGACTTTCTATATGGTCGGTACAGTGTTCTCCGTTTGGCTTTTTAAGCAGACCAATTCCGTTTGAGTGGTTTTTTGAAAGAATTTTTTGGAGACGTTGAGCTGGGGCTAATTCGCCAATCCCCTCGCAGAATTGTCTCCATGATTTCCTTTTTGATTTTCTTAATTCACGGTTGTACTTGTTTAGGGCTGTTCTATAGTCTGCCCAGTTGCCGTTAGTTTTTGCCTTGTTGAACAGTTTTCTGGCATCTTGTTTCAGACGTCTCAGCTGCCCGTTCCACCAAGGCACATCCCTGTGGACTGCCTTCTGTTTTACGGGACAACTGTTCTCATAGGAATCTTTTATCGCATTTGTTAGATTGTCAGATGATGCCTCTAGCTCTTCTATTGTGCTTATGTCAGAAGGGAGTTCATCTAGACTCAGGCACAGACCCTCCACAAAGGATACCCAGTTGGTGAGTTTTGGGATTCTTGTCTGTACTGAGTGATTTATAACTGCCTCTAGGTCGAACCTTATTGCTTGATGGTCCGACAGGGAGGGTTCATTTGACACAAGCCAGTTGGTTATTGTGTTAGATGTAAATGTGTCAGCGAGAGTCACGTCTAAGACCTCATGTCTGACGGCGTTAATAAAAGTGGGTTTGTTACCTTTGTTGATAATGTCTACGTTGTTAGAGTTCAAATATTCAAAAAGGTACTCACCCCTTGCGTTTGTATCGGTGCTTCCCCATCCTACCTGGCGATGGGCGTTGGCGTCCGCCCCGATAATGTAGTGTCTGTTTCTCGCTCTGCACCACGTGATGAGTCGTTGGACGATCTCTGGCGGTGCTGAGTTATCATCACCTGGAAAGTAGGCTGAGGTTATGAGAATATGCCTTGAGCCCCCCTCCGTTGGCACTTCTACTAAAGCAGCTGCCAAGTCTTGTGTGATGAACTCTGGAACAGGTAAAAATTTTAAATTTTTGTCAAGCAGCAATGCTGCTCTTGGTCTTCCGTGGTTAATGTTGTAGATTAACTTACATGATTTGATATTTAGGCCTTTTATAGAGCCTCCATTGACCCAGGGCTCTTGAAGTAGCCCTACGTTGATTTTTTGTCCAAACATTCTTCTTCTAAGCTCACTAGTGGCAGCTTTTGAGTGTGAAGATTTATTTGGATGCATTTGATGCATGGTGACTTGCTTCTCTTTGGTTGCTTGGAGGGAGCCATTAGAGTTGCACTCACTTTTCGCACTCCACCTGGGCACTTTCGTCTTTATGACTCATTGAGGCTTTAGACGTTCCTGCCCTTGGTTCGGCGCCGCTTTTCTTTGGGGAGCTTGGTTGCTCCACAGCTGTTGTGCTCCGGCTGCTTTGCGGTTTTATAGTCGTATGACCGAACTTGTAACTTACCGCGTAGCCTCCGGATTTGAGTTTTTCTGCGGATGCACTGTCCACAGAAAGGGTTAGTGTGACCAGATGGCCCTCGGCGTTACGTCGGATGACTCGCCAATTTTTGACGTTTAGGCCCTCATTTTGGCCTTGAACGAGATTGAGGATTTTCTCCGTGGAGTAATCCATGCTGCTTGGGAATCGAGCAACCAGGACGTCAGAGTGAGGAATGTCAGATTCCTCTACCATCCTTAGCGAAGCTTCCTCCCAAGGCTTGATGGAGGCGACTGCAGTTTGCAGCCACTGCTTGGTGGCTATGTTTTCGCAAACTAGAGCGAGCCAGCCGGGTCTGTTGTGGGCGCTCAGAAACTTCGGTTTGACCGGGCAATCCGATGCTACCTCGTCCACGATCTTATCCATAATTGCCTCTTTGGTGGCTAGAATTTGCTCCACTGACAAAAGGCAATTGGGGAAGTCTGTAGGTAGTATTCCTACCTTTATGCCTCCAGCTATCTGGCTGAAGGTTGGTTTTGGAGCTCTGGAAGGCGGAGCACTGCTGCTCGTTTCCTTTTTTGTGGGCGGGGCATTTCTGCCCGTATCCCTTGTCCTAGCTCTTTTTTTGGCTTGAGCCTCGTGGGTGTTTCCTTCTGACCGGGCTCTTTTTTCGCCCTTGTCAGAGGTTTTAGCCCTTTCTTTGATTGGCTCAAGGGGCTTTTTGCGGGCTTCGTCTGCACTCATCCCTTTTTTTTGAGGAATTTCATCCTCTTTCTGGCAGCGCCACTCAGCCTGATCCTCACCTGTCATATATACAGGGCTGTGCCCATGGTAAAAAATGTTGCTAACGGTATCCCCTATAACATATTTGAATTTCATCTAAATATCACGGGTAACCAATTTCCATTTAAATATTGCGGGGTCATTTCCAGAGTTGTTCCTGGAAAATTTTCGTGTGTGCCTGCAGCAACACTCAAATAGTGCAAAATAGTGCCACTTTAATAGCGAATTCCATTGGAAGGGTTAGTGCGCACTGAGTGTATTCGTGTCTTTTACTACCAGCTTGTATAAGGAACTCATTTTACCGATGGAATTCACTATAAAAAGTAATGGGAGAGACTTTTTACCAATTTTTTTTTATCACATGATTAAAAGGAGAAAGATATAATATATTTCATATATTAAATTCACTATAATGACAACTGACAGTCAAAAAAATACAATAGTGGCTCAAGGGGTTCGGTAATTGCAACTGCGAGCAAACAGCAAAATTTGACAGATTTCACGTGATTTGACACGTGAAAAAAGATAAGTGATCACGTGACATCCGTCAAAATTTGCTCTTTTTGCTCGCAGAGGCAATTACCGAACCCAGCCAAAATAGAAATAAACAAAAAATCCTGCTCCAGCTCCAGTCTCTCTCATCTTCAAAATTTGAAAATGATTATATCTAATAAATGTGAATCGTGCTAAATTTTTCAAAGTGGTGCCACCGTGCATTTTGCGGGCGAAAAGTGCTCACTTTTGGCACAATTGTGCCCTTTGAACAACACTGGTCATTTCAAATTTTCTGTTGTCTACATAGGTTACATAGTCTACATGGAAAAAAGTGGATGTAAACAATATGTAGACAACGAGTAGACAAATCGCGTAAAGTAGATTTCATAGGGTGAGTTCGGCTTGCTCACTCCGTGCACTCGGAGTGACTCCATTCGCACTCCAGCCGTTCGGGTTGAGGTTCGGGTATTGCTTTTTACGGTATTAGGGGTGACTCCATTAGCTCTCTTCACTCCACTCCAACTCCGCGCTGAATAGCCGAACTCAGCTATAGTCTACGGCACATCCCTGTTCTCAACTACGACCGCAACAGTTAACGACACCGTTGATAATGTCACCAACGGTGCAACACCATATGACCTTGATTCCAAAAATCAAGGCCGATGAGCAATCCTGTAGTAGTGTATATTATCGTGAGGGAGACCGTAGGTAACGACGACGCGTGCGTTTTGAAGAATTTTTCCTGGAGAAACAGAATTGCGCTCTTGCTAACCCGGAGAAAACACCTAGTAATCCGTAGTCCAAGCCCGGAGACCATAATAATATGCGAAAACCCGTAGACTCCGGGTGAAACCTGGAGAGGTGACAACCCTACAGTGGCTTAGTCGCCGGAGGATATCGCCGAAGGCGAAAAATTTATTCGGATTCCACGCCCAAAAACGTTTATTTTTCTTAAAAAAAATAATTTATTCAGTTCAACGGGGGGGGGGGGGGGGGGGTTTGAACCACCAAAACCCAAGCGCGTGAAGCCCCGGAGCTCCTCCTAGAGGTGAAAGGAATACAACTATTGAGAACCGGCCCTGAAAGTCGTATATAAAGTCTGTTTTTTTTTATAGATAAAAGTCAAAATGACATTATGTTGGCAATACAATATAAAACTGTCAATGCTTTCAAATTTTTTATGTAGAAAAGGCTTGTGTTGCGAAAAAACTGACCAGAATGACAGGTGACAGGAGTGAAATTTAGCTAGCGGCATTTGAACTAGCGTGAAGTCAACCGGAGCTTATTCCAATTCATAGGGTGAGTTCGGCTTGCTCACTCCGTGCACTCGGAGTGACTCCAGCCGTTCGGGTTAAGGTTCGGGTATTGCTTTTTACGGTATCAGGGGTGACTCCATTAGCTCTGTTCACACCACTCCAACTCCGCGCTGAATAGCCGAACTCACCGATATTCGAACGGCTGGTGTGCACTCGGTGTGACGACAGGACTGATTTCGAACGCACTTTTGTGTAGACTAACCTTGCGTTCGGTATTTTGCTCAAAGAGCGTGCTGAGCGGAGCCGTAATCACGTGACCAGCGAGCTGAACGCTGTATCAGAGTGCCCGAAATTTTAATAAAGGAACGCAAATGAGCCTGCACCGAGTACTCTTTTTGAATAAAAGAACGGTAAATTTAAGCTCAGAGAACTCAGATCAAAATACCGAACGCGCGGATTAAACATATGTTTTATGTTTTGACTTTTGACTTTTACTTTATAGTTTGTTTTTGTTTACTTGACTCTCCTTGGTCTTGCTTGCAGCTTGCACAAATCAAAATAATTCATAAAAATGCTTAAACCCAAAGTCCTAACTCAAGTATTGAGCCAAGCCAACACAGGAGGAGTAGAAAACACTTTGTAAGTAACCAGCTAAACTTTGAAGTTATTAAATAGTTGATTGATTTAAAATCAGGTTGGTGAATCAAGAAGGTCTGCTACTGGCCTACAGTGGTTATGGGGACAAAGATGCCAGAGTGACCGCAGCGATTGCGAGCAACATTTGGAGTAAATACGAAAAGAACGGCAAAAATGCTTTGCGTGAAGATCAACCGGAAATAATTCTAATGGAGTTCCAAGAGGGACGAATCGCCATAACTCAAGTTGCCAACGTTTTGCTCTGTTTGTACGCCAAAAATACTGTGGGTTTTGGTATGTTGAAGGAAAAGGCTGGAGCGCTAGCCAGTTATCTGGAGGGACCGTTGCAACAGATTGCAATGGCATAGCATAATATGTAATGATTTATGATTTTAATTTAATTTGTTGAATATAGTGATCCTATTATTACAAAGTTTTATAAGTGTTAATAAAGGCAGAAAGGCACAGTTCTCAAAATTCAAAATCGCTTTATAAAAAAAAAATGAGTTGTGTGAATTTTTTCAGAAGAAGATCTTGTGTGAAGTCAGCAACAGTTGAAGTTTAAAGAAGAAGGGCCACTGGTACCAATTTTTTTTTGAAAATAACAAAAAAGAAGAGTTGCACTAGTCTAGTGACAGCGATAAATTTGAATTTATGAATTTATTCAATTTAAATTTCAATTTACCCTTGGGGCGCGTTCACAGTGGTTTTCCCTGGGTAAAACTTAACCAGGTTAAATTACAGTGACTCTATTACCACAGTGGCGACAATTGCTGTCTTATTTTTGATTGGTTCTAAAATCCCATATGTTTATATTGAAAACGCCGCCATCTTGTTCCCAGCTCTTGTTACTTTTAAATATAAATACATGGGATTTACGTGAACATCCATCGTAAATCATGGACAACAACGTATTTGATTATTTGATGGACCTAATAATAGTCATCAAATACGTCGATTTCAATTTTTTATGATAGATGTCCATTTAAATCCTATATATTAATATTTAAAAGTAACAAGAGGTTGGGAACAAGATGGCGGCGGGACCTCTATTGTCGCCACTGCATGTAAAGGTTTATTTAGCCACTGTAGGTCAAATATTTCACTGGTTGAAAAGGATGCGCCGGGATGAAAAATCCGTGAACGACTATCGCCTGCGCCATAACGAGGTAGGATTTGATTTTGTTTTCCTTTTGTTTACATATGTTGTGTTTCGAATGTTTCGAGATGGATCCGGGAATAATATTTTTTAAAAGTACTATTGAAACTTCTTCGAATTCGTCTGATACAGAGGAAGAAGTCAGCTATGCTGTAGCACAAGCTGCATGTGCTAGCGCTAGCAGTTTATGTTCAAGCCTGAAAAAAGGCATATTGAAAGACAGGATAATTTTATGGCAACAATACGCAATTATAGCGATAAAGGAGTTTCAGGAAAATTTCCAGAGAAGCTTTCAACTGGCTTCCTGGAAAACTTGAAAACCAGTTGAAGCAGCAATGCATGGCCCAGAAAGATTACCAACAGTATTGTTTATCAAATTTCAAATATTCTTGTAAAACGCCTGCGCGACAAATTTTACCCATGTCTCAGAGTGGGTTAAAAAGTTGTACAACCGGGTTAAGTTATCATGGCTCTGTGAACGGAGCAAATATTTTAACCGGGTGAATTAGGTAGATCCGTGAACGACTTAACCCTGCAAAATACGCGCTCGGTGTGCACTCGGTGAGCGTCCGGCGTTCGACTGTGAACGTACTCCAGAGTGGGTTAAAAAGTTGTACAACCGGGTAAAGTTATCATGGCTCTGTGAACGGAGCAAATATTTTAACCGGGTGAATTAGGTAGATCCGTGAACGACTTAACCCTGCAAAAGACGCGCTCGGTGTGCACTCGGTGAGCGTCCGGCGTTCGACTGTGAACGCACTCCTGAGTTTGATTGGTTTTCAACAGTGATAATCGGCTCGGAGAACTCAGATCAAAATACCGAACGCACGGTATAATAGTAGGCTATGTTTTTTGCAACCAATAGGAAAAGAGCGTAGCATTTGTTTGAATTTGACAGTTTTGTTGAAGTTTCGATTCGAAGTTTTTAAATGTTGCGATTCTTTGCGTACGTTCCTACGGTACTTTTCTGGATAGTTTCTTGCTTTTTCAATTAAGAAAAAAAAACTGGAAAAATCTCCAGGTTCCAGAATCATGAGCACCACTAGCGCCTGCATCGAATTTCCAAGTATAGTAAGTTTCTAAATTCTTTATGCTGTAGGCTGGATACATAGTAGTCTTATTCCTAATCAGTGCGCAAAGTTATGTTTTCCCAGACGCAAATCGAAGTTCGGATAAGCTTTAAGTGCAGGAAAAATACTTTGCGCACCTGTTAGGCCCCCACAGACTCAGTTTTTAGCACAGTTCTTTCCACACAAGAACAAGGTGACAAATGCAGTTCAAGGATATTTTTTCTCTATAATGAAAAATGATTTGTACAGGCCAAATTTCAAGCAGATCTTGAATTTTCTTAGGCCAGGCCAACGGCCTGCACAGTCGACCGGAAATATCCGCATACCTACGTGCCGATATGCCTGCAAAAATCAGGTCTGCGCAGTCGGCCTGTGCTAAATAACTGAGCGTCTGTGGGGGCTTTTAGGAACAAATTTTTTTTCTACCCAAATCCCAAATATGAGGCCCCGTAAAAATCGTACTCCCCGCTACTCGCGAAATTTACTTTCTCTTTATCCCCCCATGCCAAATTTCAAATTTTCACCTCCTTGTTTGGGCTGTGGAAGGGGTGCTACTTGCTACTTTGCGTGTATGCGAAAATTGTGCGGAAAGTAGGTTCTTTGCGTTCACTCGTAGAAAATAGTTATTTTCCTAACAAGTGCGCAAAATGATACTTTCCCGTACGAAAAAGCAGTTAGACGAAGGACGCGAAGCGAAGTTCGGATAAGCTTAACCCTTCCTATACGGGCCGTGTTTTTCATAAAGTAACCCCTGTACGGGAAAATGCAGGAAATTGGATATATACGGCACTCGTCAAAATATCCGTTTTTAGAAGACGGTTGTATACGGCACTCGTAAAGAAGTTAAATATATTTTTTTAAATTTATTTATTGATAAATTTCACAAAAGTATTATTTCTAAAAAATACCTAATACATTGAAATATTGGTTAAAAAAAAACTTTATACAAATTAAGTAGAGGATCTCATTTTGCACGAACAAGCTAGCAACTACAGCACAACTCACTAGTAAACAGTACAACAAATAGTCGGATAATTACGGCACTCGTGTCCAGGCGTCTGATACATCGAATTCGTAAAGACTTGTTCACACTTGCTTTTTTCCCCACCATGCGATGTAGATTGTCATATTTAAACGGATAAAATCACCGCCGTATAGCTTCGGCACCCGGGCTTTGAGCAATTTGTGTTTTTCATTTCACGGCGGGCGTACTGAGACGGAGATACGTATATATACGGCACTAGTATAGAAAGGGTTAAGGTGTGGGAAAGACACTTCGCGCAAGTGTTAGGAACAAAACTTTTTCTACGAGTCTCTTAAAAAAGTAGACTCTGATTTGTTAAAATAGTAAAGCAATACCGCAAAATCTCCAAAAAATGTTTGAAATCTATCGGAACACCTCAAAATATCTTTTAAATTAAATCCCCAAAAATCTTTTAAAACATCTGGAATTTCTAGAATATCTTCAAGAAAATCTCTTGAATCTCGAAAAGTCTACAAAAACCTAGTAGTACAGAGGGTGGTCCAATTTGGACTTTGGACACCTTTGATAGGAAACGTCATGTTTATTAGGCGCTAAATTCAACTAAAAACCTTCATTTTGAATATTAGTTAATCCAGAAACCATCAAAACGTTGAAAAATCAAGTATAAAAAGTAAAAAGGTTCAACTTTGCACACGCAAATGAGTGTGCAAAGTAATTACTTTGCGCACGTAAGTAGAAAGTTTTTTTCTGTGAACACGAAAATTGAAAATAGACGAATTTTGAATATGCAACAAAACATTTTTATGGGATACCTAACTCTTCATTTATTGAATGAAATTTTTATGTTCCACTATGGTTATATTTAGGTAGTTTTTCTCAAAAACCATAAAAAAAAGTTCTGTTAAAAGGTGTTTGAGAGAAAGCTTCATATTTTCCAAAAATGGAATTAAACCAATTTTTTCTCGCTGCGGATGTTGGCTCAGCGTCTCACTAGCAAGATTAGCATTTAAAATAAATATGTAATTGAAATTCAGACAAACTTGTAAGTTAGGAATCTATATAAATTTGTATATACAAAGTGATTTTCGTAACTCGTGCATTAGCTTGCAGGTGGATTAAATGCTGTCTCTATTATTCCACCTGCAATTCAATTGAATTCTAATGCACGGGCTACGACAATCACGGTGTATATAGGTACAGGGACATTTTTTATATTTTCCCACCCCCCTTTACTTTTTTGTGCCACTGTGTATAAAAAAAATTTAAATGGGAAAGTTGAAGTGCTTGAAAAATAGTTCTCAGAAAACATAGTTTTGTTCATACAGGGTGTTGCAAAAAGTTTAAAAAACAAAAATTTTTTTTTTAATGGGACACCCTGTATATTATGACATTTCTGGATTCTGCGGAAAATTCTAGACATATTTCATGTATATTGTCATATACCTATCTTGAACTGTTTCGGAAATAATGACAGTAGAAAATTGACTTTTTTGCAACTTTGATAGGCTGTTAAACCCAATGAACTATAACCAAAAACTGGAATGCTAACACATAAGGACGAACTTGAAGCCTAGTGCGGCTGCTGCGGAGGGGATACCTGTTTTTGTCGCACTCATTATGTTAAATGGCGAAAATTGCTTCCAACACGTATTCCAATTGATGAAACCTGTGAAGGGAAATATGACAAAACTTTCGAAAACGTCATATGTCAGCGAGCAATAGAAAAAAACAACATTCCCCTTTGTGGCATCTGTCTTACATGGCTTCATTTTTGTGGCAGATATGGCAATGTGTGCACATTCCAGTTTTTAGCTATAGTTCATTGGTTAAACCTAAACTATTATTTTCACAGAAATCCAGAAATGTCATAATATGCAGAGTGTCCCATTTAAAGAAATATATTTTTTTGTTCTTTAAACTTTTTGAAACACCCTGTATGAACAAATCTATGTTTTCTGAGAACTATTTTTCAAGCACTACAACTTTCCTATTTAAATTTTTTTTATACACAATGGCACAAAAAATTATGGGGGGTGGGAAAATATAAAAAATAACCCTGTACAGGGGGGCCAATTTGGACACTTCCTTATGGAAACACCCTTTATTTTTAGAGATAGAAAAACATGAACCCCCCACTCTGAAGCTCAAATTTCATGAAATTTTGATTGGTGCAAACCGCTTTTTGATATCTTCAACCGTTTAGCCGCTAGAGGGCGATTCTCGATTTTGAGCAATATTGTGAACCCTTCATAACTTTTTTGTTTATGAAAATAATTGATTTCCGTGAAAACTTTCTGGAAGCACTTTTTAAAACAGAATTCAGGGACGTTCTCGGTTTTTGTCTATTTGGCGCCGATTTTGAGATATTAACCAAAGTCTGATTTTTTTTAATGGGACACCCTTTATATTAATAGCTCATTGCAAAGCTATGATTTTTCTGATTTTAATGATATAAAGTTCGATAGGGGTATCTCTAACCGTTTTCGAGAAAAAAAATAATTTCAGTTTTTCTCATAAGAAGCAATGTGTTAGAAAAGGACTTTATATCTGTAAGGAAAATAAAAAAGGTCTCTTTCTAATACATTGTTTCTTATGACAAAAACCAAAATAATTTTTTTTCTCGAAAACGGTTAGAGATAAACCTATCGAACTTATATCATTAAAATCAGAAAAATCATAGCTCTTCAATGAGCTATTAATATAAAGGGTGTCCCATTGAAAAAAATCAGACTTTAGTCAATATCTCAAATCGGCGCCAAATAGGAAAAAACTGAGAACGTCCCTGAATTCTGTTTTAAAAAGTGCTTCCAGAAAGTTTTCACGGAAATCAATTATTTTGATAAACAAAAAAGTTATGTAGGGTTCACAATATTGCTCAAAATCGAGAATCTCCCTCTAGCGGCTAAACGGTTGAAGATATCAAAAAGCGGTTTACACCAATCAAAATTTCATGAAATTTGAGCCTCAGAGTGGGGGGTTCATTTTTTTCTATCTCTAAAAATAAAGGGTGTTTCCATAAGGAAGTGTCCAAATTGGCCCACCTTGTACATATACAGGTCTGGCAAGTCAGTATCTTACAGGCCAATTTTAATGCAGTAGAATGAAATGTATAGGAAAAGTCTAAGGTTAAATAGAGAACGAAAACGATTTCCCCTGTTCCACCTCCAGCATGCAGCGCTGAGAACGATGGAGGTAGGTAGGTAGTTCATACAAAGTTATGAAGTGTTCGATATCAAAAGTATGAATCCTCATGAAACATGGATGTAACATGGATGCTCTAATTGATTTTGGAATATTTAATAAAAATTAAATAAGCGCAAATATTGCCTGTCTGTTTTCCACTTGATTTATTTTGTTTCACAGATCATAAACCGCCTCGAAGTGCAAAATGCTATTAAAACATTTGAGCTCTCCAAAAAACATTTAAAGAGAGTTACTAAATTAGCGTTGCTTAACATTATCAATAGACGAATTCAGATACCAGACAACGAATTTATTGAGAAACTTGCTTTCGATGAAGTCCCTTATTTCGTTTTCAAAAGAAAAAGCCAGAATAGATTTATTATAGCCCACCACAAGTATGGCACGGGAGTACTAGATGCTCTGGAGAAAGGATTTGTAAGTACCTACATTTACCATTTCCAAAATGTATTTGTAAAATATAAAAATAGCAATAATATACTCTGTTTCGCAGCTAAGGCAATGGGATTTGATTATTGTAAGAAAAAGCACTAGGGAACCTCTAGAGAGCTACAGTTTCAAATATAAATACAACTTTGAAAACGAAGGAGAAGCCGGAACTAGGGATCCAGAAAAAGTTCGTGCAGCTTTGCTTCACATGTTGGATGTTATAAAGCGTTTGCCAGGGGATAAATGGCCAGAAAGTGAGGTTGACCTATTATGCGACATTTTTTATCAAGAAAGTTAGTATACTTACCTGTATTTACTTTAATTTAAACTATCTTAAGGTTTAGGGTAGAATTTTAAACACAAGCACTTAACTATCTAAATCTGTTATAGACTATTTATCTTAAGGTAAATTTATTCACCAAAGAGTTATTTACCTTCGAATAAATAAATTTATGAATTTTGAATAGCGTTAGGCTCCTATTTACATAAGTATTACAATCAAGTTGTAATGGGAGTTTTTCCATTATGTTCTAACAAAATTTTCATATTTTCTTGACTGAATTATTTATATTAGTGAAAACCTATTATTTTTAATTTTTGACTTTATTCAGTCCTAAAAACCTTCCATGGATTCTATCGAATGCAGGCGAGCATAAATACATGCCCACAAATTTTGGCCCCTATAAAGTTAATATTTTCTTTTAGATACTCCAACTACATATGAGCCACCTCATTTCCGCCCCAATACAGAACTTAAATCATTGGACCATTATTTTATTCACGTTTTGCCTATGGGTAGAATAAATACCGGCTTTCACAAACTTATTGGAGAAGGCAGAGGATGGAATGTAATAATAATTAGCTTGGGGGTACAAATAATATGTGTTAAATTTTTAGTTTGAGCCGCAGATGATGGCTACTTCCACGCCAAATCCAGTAACGACGGAACAGGAACCTAGGGATGAGGAAGAACCACAGCCTATGAAAATGACGCAAGACTCTATTGAGAAGATGCCAGAATTTATGGAAGAGGAGCCAGAATCTCTGGAGATTGAGTCCCCAGCAACTAAAAAGCTACAAATAATAAACAACAAACGTAGTACTATTGATCCAATCGTCGAAAATTCTTCTAAGAAAGCTAAATCGCTGTTGAACGAATCTATAGATGGTAAAAATCCAGGCAAGTAGTTATAGATCAAAAATGCTATAAAAAATACATTGAAAAAAATTATTAGAGATCGCATCAGTGTTCAGCCAAGATCTTGAAAATTGCGTCTGTGAATGGAGGAACCTAGACCACACATTTCAATTGATAAACTGCAGTAACTGTTCGGAACCAGTTCATGCAGTTTGCAATGGCTACTTTTATTCGAAGGCGATTGATAAAGAAACTTTCATTTGCCTCACTTGCAGTTCAATAAATAAGCCGAATAAGTCCCGAGCTCACTTAAGGTAAGTTAGGTAGGTAAGGTTCATTTCACGAAGGTTTGTAATGTCTGCCCAGCGAGTCTGTGTCTACGGGGCAACGGTAAGGGGAATGCAGTTGTAAAAAAAAATGGCTGATTTCATTCATAAAATATCCAGCTGCGTGCGGAACTTTATGCAAGTGTTATCGTATTGCAACTCTTACACGAAAATCAGCAATGACCAAATCTCCGCCACTGGATATTTCAATATAAATCGATATTCCAAGATGGGAGGATAAAATGACGTCAGGCCTGGCCAATAGCGAGACATAAGGTGACGTTGGCTCATTGACAACCGTATGGTTTCCCATGACAACGGCGATCCTGCCAAAAACTCCACCAATCAGGTTCATCCAGAAAGGATGCTTGCCAAATTGTCAAAAGCTGATGGTATCTTTAGAAAATGTTTATTTTTTACAATAGACCAAATTGGAAAAATCAGGATTAAAATAAGGATAGATCTAACAACCACGTTATAGTTATTTATGTATCAAGGGAATTATGCAGGTGTTAATACCCCAGGGCAACGTTTGTGGAGGGCCTCCGGCCCGAGGGACACCAATTGCCCGTGGGTATTAACTCCTGATAATTCCCGTGGTACATAGATAATTTTATATCCTACTGAATTTACTGTATTCTGTCTATTTTTTATAAAGGAATAAGCCATAAATCAAAATACTTTATATCCTACTGAACTATTAAAACCATATAATACCTTGGTTACGATAATCATAAACAGGGTCTTAACTCCAAGGGAGTTAAGGATTTTCATAACTCCCAAGGGAGTTAAGGAAGGGAGTTAAGGATATCATAACTCCCAAGGGAGTTAAGGATTTCCATAACTCCCGCTTTTAGCTTGAATAGGTAACACTTTGACAAAAAATAGAAATTTTGATTTATGGCTTATTCCTTTATAAAAATAGACAGAATACAGTAAATTCAGTAGGATATAAAATTATCTATGTACCACGGGAATTATCAGGAGTTAATACCCACGGGCAATTGGTGTCCCTCGGGCCGGAGGCCCTCGGGACACAAACGTTGCCCTGGGGTATTAACACCTGCATAATTCCCTTGATACATAAAATTTCTATTTTTTGTCAAAGTGTTACCTATTCAAGGTAAAAGCGGGAGTTATGGAAATCCTTAACTCCCTTGGGAGTTATGATATCCTTAACTCCCTTCCTTAACTCCCTTGGGAGTTATGAAAATCCTTAACTCCCTTGGGAGTTAAGACCCTGTTTATGATTATCGTAACCAAGGTATTATATGGTTTTAATAGTTCAGTAGGATATAAAAATATTTAGCATTTTATTATTGTTATCAATATTTTGTTATTTAAAAATGGATTTCCAAATTAACTATACTTCATGCCTAGTATTTTCGCTTTTTTATAATTAAACGTGGCAACATGGCAAATTTACGTCCGAATTCCTTCCGTAGACTCAGATCCGCTGGGCAAACAATACTTATGACATCGATAATGTCATAACGTGTAAAAAACGGTTTGTCATAGATTGATTCATATGAATTCAATAGCATTCAGATTTTGTATTGTATTGAATGATTTTTGGTTTTAAGAACCGCCAAACGACGTTTTTGACGTCATTAATTTGTTTCAGTCAATTTTAATTTGTTAAAAATGGAAGGCAAAAGTACAAACCCTCGTGAAACAAACAGTATTTAGTTTTAAGATGGCAGAAGAATGCAGAGTACAATGCAGGTTGTGGTTGTTTCATACCGGAGACTTAAATCAGATCTTTAAACTAGGTAATTTGTTTCCAATTGACCATTCACCATAAGAAATTTTATAAACATGTTGCAATAGTGTTGAACCTATTCATGTCGCTCGTAAAGTGTTTGGTCTGGCAATAGAACTATATTTATTTTCTGATCTCTGGAACTCACTGAATATCCTAAGAATACTAAAGGATTTAGAACTAAAATAAGGTGCTGCTTGTAGCAGCAGGAAACATAAATCAAGCCATTGTTTTCTTCTATATTCTTCTGACCTGTGAAAATTATCTTAGATAGACTTTAAAACTATGTACACATTTAAAGTCTGTCGATTTTAATCTGATACTCCAAAAAAATGTGAGCTGGTGGCTCCCTACATTAAAACCGCCAATAGTCACCTGGCGTGAATCCTGTTTTTGCCATAAATAAGCTTCACCCCCTCGCTCCTCATACGGAAAGTGTCAGATAAAAAACGATGGACATTATGTATGTATGTATATAGGGTGTACCATTTAAAACGAAACAGGCTAAATATCTGATGCCACGTTTATTTTTAAAAAAATCGCTCGTACACGTGATTTGATTTTTAAAGGGGGAAGTTTTCTGCAACCATTTTTAACACTTGAACTTTAATCCTCTAGGTGGGGTGGGACCAACCCTTACCATTTCAAATGGAACAAGGGGTCGAGTGATACCTCTTTTAGAAAAGCGTTCAATTCTCTTTCATCTGATGTCATTTGAAAGAAAATTGAACGCACTTTCAAAACCGGTACCACTCGACCCCTGTTCCATTTGGAATGGTAAGGGGTAGTCCCACCCCCCCTAGAGGGTTAAGTTAGTGCTGAAAAATGTTTCAAACACTCACACAATCAAATTACGCGTACGAGCGATTTAAAAAAAAATAAAAGTGACATCAGATATTTAGCCTGTTTCGTTTTAAATGGTATGCCCTGTATGTGTAGTACCGTCGTGGCTCATTTTCTGCCAAAAAAATGAGCCACCTTATGCAAATTAGTATTGTTCTCTGCATAGATTGGTCCTTTATGGAACTTACTACGATGATAGGGAGCCAGCAGTTCTCCGCAATGCAAAAAAATCTGAAAGAAGGGCTCTCTTGAATAAGCTGGAAACCTATGGTATCATCCAACCAGACAGCATGTAAGTTTGATAAAAAATGTTTTATGCGCGATAATTTTGATTTTTTTTTCAGACAAATCGATGGAAAGGCTCTGGAACGTGCTATTATGAGAAATTTTATTGATTTACAGAACTCAGCACATCTACATCCGTAATTTCATTATATTTCTTATTTGTTTTCACTATTCGTTACTCGTTAGGTTAAATGACACGACATAGAGTGTCGAAGTAGGTACTAGTTTCATTGTTTTAAAAAAAAAAAGTTTAGCTAAAATAATGTGTTAAGTTTCATTGACTTTATCGTTCTTGTTTTCAAAATATTTTATATCTAGTGTTTAGTATTATATTATTGTAGTTGTAACAATAACAATCGTTCGTTTTTTCGATGTTGAGAAATTGTTGTTAAATGAGTCTTATCCAGATTGTAAGAAGGCGTCCAGAAACGAGACATTCTTGCCTGATAGATTTGCCTATTTACCCCAATTCCATGGGGTTATTAATTAATGATATTACTTAGCAATCTTCTAAATAGTTACTACATTGTTATTTTCAATAAAACTTTTATAGAATTATTTAGACTATTATTAATTCTGCAATTATATAATAAATCAACAAGATCCACAACTAAAGTAGAGAATTCGAAGAAACCCTTAATACCTACTAATAGGAGATTAATGCAAAAAAAATCTAGGGAGTTAAAACACCATATTTCTCATATTTCCGTTCAATACACACTATAGCCCAAAATAAAGGATGAGTAAGTAGGCTTCGTGTCCTTATTTGTCTCTGGGGGTTTTTAGAACTTATGGGGGTAAAGAAAAATAAAACATTAAAATATGAACGAAAGTACCTTTTTCCTAATTGTAGGGACTCCACAGACAACAGTCTGAGTAGGTCGTCAAAAAGTTTTCAAGAATACATAAAAACCGAGAGAAAAACATTAGAAGAGCCGAAGAGTCAGGAGTAAAAACAAGAGCGTGAAATTCTAAAATATGAGAATAATAATGAGAGAGAATTCAAGAACTTGGAATGAAAAAATTCAAGAGCCAAAAGAAAGTTAGGAATTTTAGAATAAAGGAATAAGGAAAAATCAAGAGCTTTCCTGCTGGAAAGTTTTTTGGAACGTTCTAAAATGGCTTATTGAAGTTCTAAATTGTTCTATGGCTTGAAGAGTTCTGGAGTATTTTAGAAGTTTTTCAATAGTTTGTAAATAAGGTTTAATTTAAAGTTCCACAGCAATTCAAATTCGCTCTTGAACGCCTTCTGAAAGGCGTTTTGTAACTTTTAGCCTGAATCCTAAGATTCTGGGGCTTTTTAAGATGTTTCTGGAGTGTTTGAGTATTTTGCGGAGCCTTATAGGTTTTTTTTTTTAGGTTTAGGTTTCTTGTGAGTGGTCCGATAACCGATGTCGGCCCTTCTACTGCGACCTACGGTCTATTGTGGCTCACTCCGAGTTTATATTTCCCCCATTAGTCCAGCCCTTCTTATGAAGGTGGAGATTAGGGTTGCCAAGTTTTTGAAATGGAAAAGCGGGAGGTTCAAATTTTTGGGTTAGTTATATAGCCGCTATAGAGAATTTAATACTCTTTCCAATGACATATAGTTATTACTAATTTGTTCAAGAATAATCGAAGATATAAACAATTATTCATGAGCGTGTCAAGATTTGCAATTGAGAAACTTCAGTTATTGTAGAACAATATTATAGGATTCAATTTAGAACGGAAACTTTTCAGAACTTTTTTGAACCAACTTGAAACACTCATTGGAGCTTCAATAGGGCTCTAAAATACTTAAAAAGCAGTCAGAATAATTTAGAAATCATTAAAAAACTTCTAGAATGCTCCAGAACTCTTCAAGCGAAGAAGTTAGACCACTTTAAAACTTCAATAAGCCATTCAAAACACTTTCCAGCCACATTTTAAACAATTTAAAAACCTCAGCCTGGAATACACAAAAATCAAGGTCTGTTCCAAAAACCCTCCCAAAATACGATTTCGGAGCCATTCTGTATACGAATTTTTTGGTATTGCGCAAAATCTTGACGGTTCATTGTACAGTTTTTTATAAACTTAAAAAAAAATTAACACTAATTCGGCCCTGTAACTAACTAGAAAAAGGGGATTTACATTTACACTTGCCGTCGGAATACTAATCTATTAATTTACGCAGTTAGTTTTTTTGCCCATCTCACTCATATTATTACTTAATCTGTTTACCTTTTTTTTTGGGGGGTTTTTGTTGGACAAGGGATTTAGATTTAGTTACGGATCGTCGTCGGAGATGGAGCACCGCCAGTCGCGATTTTTTTTCACATAAGTTAAGATTTTCCGATCATTAGTGTTGTGTGCCCATAGTGTACCCAATTGATTTCTGGATTTTGGTAAGTACCAACAATCATTTTTTGATAATTGGGATTTATTGAATTTTGAATAAACAATCCTTGATTTTTCTAATGTCTGAGTCTGGAACAGTCCAGAACTTTTTTTTTTTTTTTTTTTTTTAAATTTAAATAGGTATAGTGATTTATTTGATTTTCTATAACTGGGAGTAAATTATACAGGGTGTCCAAAAATTAGTTTTTCAGAAAATCTTTCGCACCTATATTTTCATCATTAATTTTTTTTTTATTTGGCTTTCCAAAAGTGCATTAATGAAGAAAGTATATATGAGCTTGTGTGAAGGATGAATGATCCAGAGATGTAGACTATTATGAGATAGAATGCTGGGTTCTGGATATGTAGATACTGTTATGGAATAGAATGCTGTATGGTGGATGTAGGTATTGTTGTAATAGAATGATAGAGTGTCTCAAAAAAATATTGATTTTGCCCAGTTTTCAATTGAATGGCTGTTTAAGCCACTTTACTACCACTAGCAATAACCTTAACTAACCCAACACAACTAACCCATATTAACACCTTGGGGTAATTGCTAATTGGTATAGTCCACTAAAAAATTTCAGCTAAAATGATACAAACATCTACACAATAATACTCTATAGCTGATTGCTATAAATATAGTATATAGCTATCCAGTTATATAGCTATATTTTTTAAAAAGGAGTTTGAAAGTTTTCAATTTTTCTGTGATACTCCATGGAGATGTTGGGTGCACTTTTGGAAAACCAGTCATTAAAACGTAAATTGGGCAAAACTGCCCGACAGAGATGTTTCTATTTAGGCCATGTCGGACATACAGGGTGGCAATTTGACACTTAGACAAAAAATACTATGAAGAAGATCTCATTTATTTATTAATTTATTAAGAAATTGCTATTTTATTACATAAGGAAAATGTTCATGTAGTTGCCTTTTTGGATGACCAACTATCATTTATGGTGGAAGGAATTTTTCTTACTTACAGAAAAAAATAAGCTTGGATATAGTTACAATGGGGTTATTTACAATATTTACACTATCGAAATGGGCCTAAAGCCTTTACTATTTACAGTTATGGGGTTTTATTTACATAATACATATCTGATGCATAATAAGTATACCTACATACATATATCCTGTTCACAATCCGATGTCCACAGGTGCAGGTAAATTTATCACCTTTCCCTATCAAATAGCATTAAAAGGTGATTTTACCTGGACCTACCTGTGGACATCGGATTGTGAACGGATAATATAAAAAAAAATAATTAATTGTTTTGCACTAAGTAGTTTTGGCCACTCGAATAATGATCATTCTCAAAAGGTTTTTCATCACATTTTCGTAACAATCTGAAATTGGTGTTTTGTGCATTTCAGCAAGTAAAGGGTCCCATTCACGTTGAGATCGGTTTCAAGTTTCAAGTATCAGTATCTTAGTGTAGGCAAGTTAGATGTTGAACCTGAAAAAATTCTATACAAGCATTTCTTAACAAAAATGCACGAGGAGTAACGTTCTAAACAACATACTAAAAGTCCCATGGATTATGTCTCTGGCAAGTTGAAAAAAACGGCCGCCATTTTGTTTTTTACATTTTATTGCAAATATCTCAAAAACTATCAGGTTTATGAGGAAAAGTAGAAGGATATTTTTTACTTAAAATGCAAATTTACATTGGTTGGGATGTATTAGCAACATGTATTTAAATATTTACTGACTTTTTCCAGTTTCACAAAAGAATACCTACTACGTTCAATTAAAAGTAATATCATCTTGATCATTTTCATATACGATGCACGAATTGCAGCAATTCATTCCTAAGTATTGACCACATTTTGCAGAACATATTAATCCAAGTTTTCTGCAGGAGCATGCCTTGTTGCATGTCCCTTCCTTGCAATTATAGAATACCATTTTTAGTATATCAGAGGGGACAATTTCTTTTGTTACGGATGTAGGCGCAAGATGTCCATCTCTATCTCGTTCCCATCCGTAGAATAATGGATCTAACTTGTATCCCATCCACTCTTGTATCTTAAAATTACATACTTCATTATTTGCATCAAGTGATAATAGGCATGTTGTACAGCAGCGTCTTTGGTTGGGGGAAGCGCAGCCAAGTTAAAGTTTGACGAGATGTTATTCGATTGTATGAAGTAAATCAAGGTATCAATTTTTTCTTTGCATAGCTTTTGGGCCTGTGCAGTTTGGTTATAAATGTTACGCCTACTTCTAATAATTGGTTTTTATCTGGATTTTGTTGGTAAAATATTTGAAGACTTTGACATAGGGGAATATCAATTTCAACAGTTTTAAACATAATGTTCTGCTTTTTTTGAAAATGAACGAAGTGGTGTCGCAACCTGATATAGCATAGAGAAATAATATGTATTGTTTAATATGCCCAAGTTTTTCTTGAAGTTCTCATATATTTGCTACTTTATCAGCTTTGGCAGCTTTCCCGAGACGTCGCAGAATCATCTTTTCATGCTCCGAGTGATGAATCAACAGAACAGAACAGTGTTCTGTTCTGTTGATTCATCACTTGAGAACAGCAACATCTGTATCTTCAGATACAACTACGGTTGTTCTGCCACAATTAGAAAGTTTTACTGCAGTCCTAACGATTAAATAGTCTGCGTCCCTTTCAGCCTGTATTATTTTAATTCCTGTTTGTTTAAACCAAATCTTTAAAAGCTCTATGAGTTTCTGCTTGTTGTTATTATTCCGTTAAAATTCTTCCTGTGACGTAACAATTGAATTGAATTTTCCAATTTTTCCGATATTTCTATGGCATTTTGTGATCTGACTTGTTGCAGAGCGTCCTTTGTTGAAAAACGATTTAAATTGTAACCATCGAAAACCGCTACACAGTCCTGACCATAATTATGTTTAGCATAATTAATATATTTATCGCAAATTTGGTGGAACGTAGTGGGCTTTTGCCATAAGACTTTGTGTAGGACTTGTAGGAGAAAACCGCCGTCAACTATATTGCGTTTTGCTCAGTGGACGAAATGGGTGTAACCAAAGCATCAAATTCTTTAAAAAGAAGGCTTTTTGTGCCTTGCCTTAAAATACCATCCTTAAAAAGGGATAACGGATACGGAGATAATTCAGAGCTGAAACTGTCCCTTATTTCGTCTGGAGTTTTGTTGGAGCATGAGCATATAATTCTATCAAATAATT